CCCCCGCCCCCTCCCCGCGGGGCTCCGCCTCTCCGGCTGCGGCCAGAGCAGGGTTTTTACAGCGACCCCACCCGGGGACCGGCTCTGACCTGTCCCAGACGACGCGAGTACTGGCCCAATCCTCAGGGATGGGATGGAGCGTTGGGGAGGGATCGGCTGACCCCTCCTTCCCCGCGTCAATCACACAACACCCAAGCACCTGGGGCGACTCTGCCGGCGTACAGTTTTGCACTCTGAGACTGGAGTCGCTGCGGGAGGGACCCCCTCCAGCCCCTGCGGCCGCCACGTACACGGAGCACGGGGACATGCGCCCTCCCTACGCAGGCACGTCAAGCCCTTTCTCAAGCTGGTTCGCTTTTTTTCTCCCACTTCCCTCCTGCAGCTATTTGGACGTGGGAAGGAGGGAGTCTCTAGGAGCCACTGCAGGGCAACAGGAGCTCTTGGAGGCCGCGTGAAGACGCCGGCCAGAGAGCGGCTGGCCAAGTTGTTCCCCTTCAGCCTTGGCACCAGAACCCCTAGGCCATACCCCTGGTCAGTGAACTGCGGCCGCCGTCTCTGGCCTGTCTCCGCCCTTTTGCCTGCCCTCCAGTCGGCAACCTGTCCTTGCCTTTCCAAGGCGTCATCCGAAAGCCTGCTGGACCCACAGCCCCTCCAGGAGAGAATAGCCGCTCCCTGCTCTGTGCCCTGTAGATGTCCATCTAGTCCCCTTCCTGGCCCACCCCTAGGATGCTTGGGAAGAGTTTCCCCACAGCCACCCACGTCGTCCTCCCTCACCAGCCCTGTTGTTACCCGGTCTACATTCGTTAACAAGCTTTGTTCATGTGTTGAATACCAAAGAAAAAGGACGTCCCTTGCTTTCCTCTTCCTTGTCCCTGTCCACTTCTCCATGCCTGCCATCATCATCCCGATTTTATATCCTTTCTCCCTTTCATTATGGTCTGCAAAAAGCCTATGGCTGGGAGAAGTCTATAAGAAGGGGCATTGGGTGCTCTATTCCTGACCAAAACCGCAAACCAGAGGGAGCGTGATCCCTTAACATACCCTCTCCTTCTAAGCAGAGGGACCTACGTCATTAAAAATCTGCTCCCCAGTTCACAGAGAGCATTCACAAACTCTCACTGTCCTGTGAGCGGATGAAAGCCAGTGTGTACATTATATCAACAGGGAAGTGGCTTTAGTGACTCCCAGGGTCCCTCTACTCAGAGCCCTTGCTGCGCTGGCTCCCTTTCTGCTCCAGAAATGGAGCAGGGATGTGATCTCACCCCTAGGACCCAAATCCAAAGCAGGAATCACTCCTGTGGCTTACCCTGAGCTGGATCCTTTCAGTGTCAAGACTCAGCTGCTTCCTGAAGACTTTCTAAATGGGAAAATCTCAAATCTTACACCAGCATAGAAATTCCACTTTCTCTGCTGGGCGCAGTGGCTCATACCTGTAATCCCAACACTTTGGGAGGCTGAGGTGGGTGGGTCACCCGAGGTCAGTAGTTCGCAACCAGCTTGGCCAACATGGTGAAACCTCCTCTCTACTAAAAATTAGCTGGGCGTGGTGGTGCTTGCCTGTAATCCCAGCTACTTGGGAGGCTGAGGCAGGAAAACCGCTTGAACTCGGGAGGCAGAGGTTGCAGTGAACCAAGACCACGCCATTGCACTCCACCCTGGGCAACAAAAGAGAAACTCCGTCTCAAAAAAAAAAAAAAAAGGGCCGGGTGCGGTGGCTCATGCCTGTAATTCCAGCATTTTGGGAGGCCGAGGCCAGCGGATCACGAGGTCAGGAGTTCAAGACCAGCCTGGCCACTATGGTGAAACCTGTCTTTACTAAAAATACAAAAATTAGCCGGGCATGGTAGCGCCCACCTTACAGCGACCCCACCCGGGGACCGGCTCTGACCTGTCCCAGACGACGCGAGTACTGGCCCAATCCTCAGGGATGGGATGGAGCGTTGGGGAGGGATCGGCTGACCCCTCCTTCCCCGCGTCAATCACACAACACCCAAGCACCTGGGGCGACTCTGCCGGCGTACAGTTTTGCACTCTGAGACTGGAGTCGCTGCGGGAGGGACCCCCTCCGCCCAAACACACTGGAGAAAACCGAGGAAAACTCAAGAGCCCTCACCTACCACTACCCTCACCCTATAAAAATCCGGGGCGTTATCCACAAGCCACCCCGGTATCTAGGCTCCCTAAAGGACAGAAAAAAACAAGAGCAACACGAAAGAGCACTAAAGAAGCCTAGCGGAGAATTCAGCCTTACCTTGAAAAGAAAAGGCTTACACGTATTAGAGAAAAACGTGGGCTTGCTTTCTGATGTGTGGGAAGCACAAAACCCTGCGCCGGAGTGACTAGAGAGAGCTACTGCGTGCCCCAAGTCTCCCTATATAGGGCGAAGCACAGAACAACCGCCCTCCCGTGGATCCCTCCGCCTTAAAGGAGCATGCTTGTCAAGTCCGCACCTGCCGCCACCAGCCCACCTTGACGTCATGGTCCGAAAAAAGGAGGGGGCGGGGAAGAACCCAAGCAACGGATCCACCCACACGTTTGCTTGTGATCACAGCCCCATATCTTCACCTGTAGGACCTGACCCCATCAAGAGCTGGGATAAGGAGTGCTCATTTGGCATATACGGTGTCTCTACGGGCGAGAAATCCATTGACCTCTCTAAAAACCTATGAGGCAGGAGTCCCCACTCCCAAGGACAGGGCCGGGGGAAACACCTAAAAAGAGCGGAGGCAGCTAACCACTCCAACCGCTGCTCCCATACCCAATCTTCTTCCTAGCATATGCCCTACACATTTCGCATCCCGACAGAGGGACTGGCATTCGGGACCCGACCTTGGGTAGCCCCAGATCCTGACTCTCCCAGGAGGAGAGGAAGGGCGGAGGGTTCGCGGTGTGGGGTATCTCAGCGTGGGGGGAGGGCGCCGGCCGGGGCCGACGGGACTCTTTGCCGGCATGCG